TGAGAAATACTGTGATTAGATGTATTTCAGTGCAAGTGCAAAAATAAAACATCTCTTATAAGAAACATGGGAATCCTCATCTGTTACTTTCTCCACAGGCAGAGTCAAGGCAATACTGCTGCCACACATTGGGATTTTATGGAAATAGATGGATTCTTCTGTAGTGAAAAAAGGGGGATGAGGAGATTAATCTCTGCCACATACACAATTTTCCTTGGGAGCTAAAGTGTCAACTAGTTTTATGAGGGGGTAATTGCCACCTATAGGAGTAAGCCTCATATAATCATTTTGGGCATTTGTAACTGAATTGCTAAATTAAAATTATTTGTGGTCCAAAGTGTGGCTCTGATATCATCCCTGCTATATTACAGTGAAAAGACATGGTTCTGTCCTGAGCTGGGCTTGTCATTTAGCAAACATTAATGCCCCACTTTTGCAAGGCGATTATAATGGGGTAGCATAATTTTATAACACAGAACAGGCCAGTATGGTTTCAGACTGATAACACTCAGCCAGCAGTGACACTGATTAAGTGCTTCTGGCCATCTTGTTGTTGGAATAGCAATAATATTGGCTGCCAGAAGCTGTAATACAGGAATAATTAATAACAATGCTTAATCTTTCTCTCTGATGAGCAGTTTCACAAGACTCCATTTTCTTCCCCAACAAAATCCTTCAGAAGAGGAAGGTAGAAAGCAGCAAGAAGAGCAAGGCAGGCTAGAAAAAAATATTTTCTGACCCATTGCCACTTTAGATTCCAAGTTTGGAAATGATAAGAGGATTGTTTGAGGGCAGGCATGGCTCCCCCATGCCATCACCCAAGATTCCTTGATTTAAGTCAAATTCTCTTTCTTAAGCTCTGATGAAGGATTCTGTAAATCAATTGCTGCCCAACAAATATATTTCAAGCTGATTCAGTCACAGACACTATATTCCTGCAACAGTCTAATAGTTTGCTTCTACACAGAGGTGACCTGGTTAACAACTACAAGAATACCCCTCCTTTTCAGCAGTTGAAAGAAGTTATGCAAATTGGATAAATACTCAGGACACAAGCTTTCCCATAATTTGACACAATTCTACTGTGATTTATTTATTTCTAGAATGCATTGTTTGCATTTCTGTCTGCAAAGTCACTCAAGGCGATGCACAATAAAAGAACTGTGAAACAAAAATAGAATACCATAAACAAAAGATAACAGCAAGCAAAATGTTAAGGAAAAAAAAACATAAATATTCCAATCACCCATGAACAAAATCCAATTTAAACTGTCTGAGTAAATATTGTTTTAAAGAAACAAATAATTACAGGTCAACTTTGGAAAGGAAGTTGTCCAAAATGCATTTTTAGCCAATTTGACAAATGTATGATGGCTAGGCCTGTCTGTGAGACCCAGTGTGGTGTAGTGGTTTGAGCATTATAGTATGACTCTATTAACCAGGGTTTGAATCCCTGCTCAGCCATGGAACTAACTGGGTGACCATGAGCAAGTCACACTCTCTTACTTCAGAGGAGGCAAAGACAAACCCTCTCTTAACAAATCATGCCAAGAAAACCATATGATATATTCACATTAGGGTAACCATAATTCAGAAATGACTTAAAGACACACAACAACACCCAAGTCTGTCTGTGGATCTATTCATGAGAGTTAAATAGAACATCCAGGTTTGGAAGTTATATGTTATTGCAGTGCAATTCTATGACTATTTACTTAGAAGTAATTTCCAATGAATTAAATGGGACTGAGGGGCAAAACAGACCATCCCTTTGTACTGCCATGTGGGCACTCTAGCAATGTGGTGTTTATATGCTGCACACAGCTGGAGCACCTTAAAGCCAGTTTACGGCTGTGGTGGGATGGAAAAGCCAGCTTTTTGCCAGCCCAAAAAGGAGCAGCTCCTTGTGGCTCCTTTTTCAGCCAGCAAAAAGGCAGATTGGGGCCATGGCATTCAGTTGCCATGGCCCCAATCTGGTTTTGGAAGGAGCGGCCTCTTTCACCCCTGACTCTCCAATAACTGTGCATAGGATTGTATCTTAAATTCCAGCAGCTGGGAGACAAGACTTGGGAGTATTATTTCTTTAGTCCTCTGTTTTGTTTAAAAAAATAAATTGAAAGTTTTGAGTGTATGGTGGA